AATTTAAATTGGAAATCTGAAATCTCACATGTCGCCAATAAAGTTTCTGAATGCACAGGAATTATTCGTAAATCCAGTTTCTATTTATCTACGAAAACCTTACAACACTATATTTTTCTCTAGTCTATCCATACTTTTTTTACTGCAACTTAGTTTGGGCCTCCACTTACAGAACTAACCTTATTCGTCTTGAGATTTTACAGAAACGGGTGACCAGAACTATAGCTAAAACCACTTTCGATGCACATACTGATCCAATCTTCCAAAATCTTGGTATCTTAAAATTTCATGATATATACTTAATACAACTAGGCTTATTCATGTACTCCTATCAAAACCGTACTCTACCTTTAAAATTTCATTGTAAATTTACTTTACAAAGTCAAATTCGTTCGTATAATACAAGAAACTCGTGTAAATTTAGGGGTGGCGAATTGTAAATGCGAGACTTTGCGAGACTGCGAGACTAGCGTTTTTCTTTGCGAGCCCGAGACATTTTGACTTTTTAGATTGCGAGACCGAGACTTCAAAGTGTTTTGAGTGCGAGCGCGAGACGTTCAGACTCTTAAAATTCGAGCCCCAGATTTGGTTCAGAGCTATGAGAAGATATGACAATGAGCTAGAATTAGCTTGTACAAAAGTCTTACGAAGGAGGCTTTTGTTGTAGACCTGTCAACCTGTCAACAGTCAATAATTTCAATCCCGGACTCGAGAAAACAACTACGCCATGCTTAACCAGTTAGGTCCCACGGTTCATCATTCATCCGGGTTCGATTCTATTACTATAAGCTAAGCTAAGCTACAGTACTATAGCTAATTATCAAAGGCATAGGCTGCAAGTTGCATTGATGGTGGTTTTAGCTGGGATTGTTTGCTCAAGATGGCAAAAGCTGGTAAAATAGGTCAAAATATTAAAACTACAATGTGAGCTAATGTGAGCGGCAAACCAGGTCTGACGGACGGTCGGGCGGGCGGTCGGTGTACGGTCACGTGATTACCAAATTTTCTCGGATGGGTAGTTTACCACATTTTGTTACCCATGGTGCTCCGCTGCGCGCTTCGCGCGCGAGAGCTCCGCTATTAATTTAATTAACTACCAAAATCATCACCTCATTGGCCAATTGTTGATTGGCCTTCGATTAAAACTTGTGATGAGCCAGATATTGCGTACAAACGCGTTCATGAAATGTATACAAAGATCTATAACGATTGCTTCCCTCTCAAGAAGGTGACTAGAAAGAAGAGGCGCTTTAAAAAACCGTGGTTACCGAAAGCTCTTCTTAAATCCATTAAAACAAAGAATAAACTTTACAAAAATATCTTCAAGTTCCAACAGTCGACAATTCTTCACTCAACAAAACATACAAGAACAAATTGAATCGCACCTTGCGATTGGCTTAGCGTCGGTATTATGAAAAGAAATTGGAAGATGCTAAATCAAATACACATGCGACCTGGAAAATTTTAAACGAAGTCTTTAATAGAAAAAAGTCAAGGCCTCAATTAAATACAATATTTAAGTCAGACAGTCAGGAGATTTCTGATCCAGTGGAAGTAGCAAATAAGTTTTGCAGCTACTTCTCTAGTATTGGTCCCAACCTCGCAAAGAAGATACAGCCTCCTCCTTGTTCACATAAAGGTTTTCTATCTGGATTATTCCGAGAATCAATCTTTTTTAGCCCAACAGCAGAGGATGAAATTATTACCATTGCTCAATCCTTTGCTTCCGGGAAAGCGGCTGGATACGATAATATTCCAATGTCTATAATTAAGGAAGTTAGTTATTCAAATCAATTCGGGACCTCTGGCGGGGTCACATTATGAACTTATCGATCGCTCATGGCGTTGTACCAGATCAAATAAAAATAGCTCGTGTGGTACCACTGTTTAAAGCTGATGACCAGTCACTATTCACCAACTATAGGCCTGTCTCGGGTCTAACATGCTTTTCAAAATTTCTTGAGAGAATCATCTATAATCGCTTGTATGATTATTTAACTAATTTACATGTTCTCTGTGATAACCAGTTCGGCTTCAGGAAAAACCACTCTTCGACGCTTGCCTTGATTGATTTGCATGAAAAAATTTCATCTGCTATTGATCGTGGTGAATTAGCGGTTGGTGTTTTTTTTTAGATCTCTCGAAAGCTTTCGATACAGTCAATCATTCCATCTTATTTGATAAACTTGAATACTATGGTATACGTGGCTTGGCTCTGAAATGGATTAAGAGCTATTTTTCCAACAGACTTCAATTTGTAGAATACAATGATAATGTTTCGTCTCGTGCTTATATCATATGTGGCGTTCCCCAAGGTTCAATACTAGGACCTTTGTTTTTTCTGCTCTACATCAACGATATAATCAACACGTCAACAATATTACAACTGATATTATTTGCCGATGATACAAACGTTTTTGTGTCTCACAAGGATAAAGACTGCCTGACTAACGCTGAGCTAAATAACTTGTCATTATGGTTTAGAGCTAACAGGCTCTCATTAAACTTGAAAAAAAACCAAATTCATTGTATTTAAACCATGGCAAAAGCGTACAAATCAAACTATTCAACTTTTAATTAATAGCCAAAAAATTGATCAAGTAAAAGAAACAGTTTTCTTGGGAGTAATCATGGATGAAAATTTAAATTGGAAATCTGAAATCTCACATGTCGCCAATAAAGTTTCTGAATGCACAGGAATTATTCGTAAATCCAGTTTCTATTTATCTACGAAAACCTTACAACACTATATTTTTCTCTAGTCTATCCATACTTTTTTTACTGCAACTTAGTTTGGGCCTCCACTTACAGAACTAACCTTATTCGTCTTGAGATTTTACAGAAACGGGTGACCAGAACTATAGCTAAAACCACTTTCGATGCACATACTGATCCAATCTTCCAAAATCTTGGTATCTTAAAATTTCATGATATATACTTAATACAACTAGGCTTATTCATGTACTCCTATCAAAACCGTACTCTACCTTTAAAATTTCATTGTAAATTTACTTTACAAAGTCAAATTCGTTCGTATAATACAAGAAACTCGTGTAAATTTAGGGGTGGCGAATTGTAAATGCGAGACTTTGCGAGACTGCGAGACTAGCGTTTTTCTTTGCGAGCCCGAGACATTTTGACTTTTTAGATTGCGAGACCGAGACTTCAAAGTGTTTTGAGTGCGAGCGCGAGACGTTCAGACTCTTAAAATTCGAGCCCCAGATTTGGTTCAGAGCTATGAGAAGATATGACAATGAGCTAGAATTAGCTTGTACAAAAGTCTTACGAAGGAGGCTTTTGTTGTAGACCTGTCAACCTGTCAACAGTCAATAATTTCAATCCCGGACTCGAGAAAACAACTACGCCATGCTTAACCAGTTAGGTCCCACGGTTCATCATTCATCCGGGTTCGATTCTATTACTATAAGCTAAGCTAAGCTACAGTACTATAGCTAATTATGAAAGGCATAGGCTGCAAGTTGCATTGATGGTGGTTTTAGCTGGGATTGTTTGCTCAAGATGGCAAAAGCTGGTAAAATAGGTCAAAATATTAAAACTACAATGTGAGCTAATGTGAGCGGCAAACCAGGTCTAGCTCAGGTCTGTGACGTCAATTCATAATTTAATTCATGAGGCACTCCTGGTCGCCGGAAAAATTATCTGATTACAACCTACAGCTTTAAACATTTATAATAATTATTAGCATACTCCAACAGAAATCTTGCGAAAAAGCCTTTTAATATTTAACATTATTTGTAAACTTCCGTAATATTGATTAGTTTAATTTTCCACCTGATATTATTTTGTATCCGTCGCCTTAATTTTTATGCCATCCTCGGAAAATTGTAATTGAGGAGGCCTAATTAACATAAGCTCTATAGTTTCCTTTAGGCCTCCTCGCCATTTCTTCCTACATTTTTTTTGGCATTTCTTTGTAATTATTGTAATCGTGTGGCAAATAAATAAATACAAATACAAATACAAATTAATATTCATATCGATTTTAAACCCTTTTTAGGGATGAGGCGAATAAATATCTTGGTGTTGAAATGGATGAATCATTATTTTGGAGAGATCACGTAGACAGAATTGCTAAGAACGTTTCCTCGAGGGATTGGAGTTCTGAGATGTGTAGGGCATCTAATGCCTTATAATACTTTAATTATGATGTACTTCTCCATTGCACTACCGTAATTCAATTATTGTAGTATAGTGTAGGGAGCTGTGGGAAGGGGATGTGTGAAAAACAAAGCTGCCAGGGTGGTAACCTCCTCTAGTAACGATAGACGATCAGTTGAGGTACTGGATGGACTCGGGTGGGGTAATCCTCATGGCACACGAAAGACAAGGCAATTAGCCACAATAATGTATAAATTAAAAATAACATTGCACCAGATCATCTGGCTCAAGTTTTCAATAGGACAAACATTATGTAGTCCTGTAATCTAAGAAACTCAAAACACAATTTATTTGTTCTAAGACCCTACTATAAGGCTGGAAAAACGGCTTCCAATATAGAAGGGAGGTTCTCCGGAATAGCCTATCATGCAAACATTGTTAAAGGACAGACAAACTTGAAGTCATTTATCTCGCATTTGTCATTTAGTACCATTTAAATAACTATATTTACCTTATGCTGTTTTATTGCATGGTTTTTGCACGGCTCTCTGAAGGAGCATTTTTATAATGGGGTTCCGTGTTTAAGTAAAGATTGATTGATTTTGAAAATGATCGATTGGTTGGTTTTCCGGGATTGATGCTGGAAAACCTACAAAGAGTTACTGATATGTTGTAGTATTTCGGAACGCTTTTGTCTTCAGTATAGAGCCTCTGATCTTTTCAACAACATGAGGTATATTTTTGGGTGATGGCGCTGTTGAAGGCCTGTGACGTCATCAACAATGATCGCCATCTTTGATTTTACCAAGAAGTAGAAATCAGGTTTGAAAAAATAGCAATTTTTTGTACTTGACATGAGAAAATAACACAAATAAGCACTTTACAGTTAATTTTCAAGCAGTACGATCAACTTTGCAGATTTCATTATGTCCACTTGGTACATTTCTGGTGATCAGATTTTGACTTGATTCGGGTCAAGTTCAGATAATAGTTCTGCGGTATACTCGATTGCGGTCTCTTCCAGTTAATGTTCTTTACTTTGAGTTGTTTAACTGTTTAGCGAAGGAGGCCCTCCAAAAGCCCCGCCCCGATGTGAATAGGGTTAATTGATGCCAAGTAGTGCAAAAAGTTACAATTTATCACCGGTAAACAAGACCCGTAAATGGGATGAGGAGTAATCCTCACCTCTTCCACAGGGGAGTCTTACTCCACTCCTCCTCCCAGTTACTATCTCTACCCTATGGTTAGAACGTTTCAGCTATATATCAAGGCGACGGCGAAGGTGAAAAGCAAAGCATCATTAGTAAGCATCTTCAAACTTCCGGACTTTAAAAGTGGTTCAGGAAACCCATTGTCAGCTATTAGCTGCTTGAAGAACTTGGCAGACTTCTTGGGAACACGGGTGAGGTTAGGGTTGTTTTCAAAGTCGACAAAATGTATCCCGTACGGGGTGGAGTAGGCAGATCCCCACTCGAAGTTATCCATCAACGTCCACGCCATGTAACCTTTCACTTTAACGCCGTCATCGGTGATCGCTTTCAACATCTCATTAGTATATCTGCAATAAATCCAGAAATGTGGAATAAATAGATGAGAACACCCATGATCAGGATCAAGGAAAACTATTGACTTCAATGTGTTAAGGCTATGATTTTCCCAAGTTCTCGTCTAATGGAGGTAGCCGCTGTTACCTAAACTATGAGGGCTAAGAGGAGCTGTTGCAGCTGTCAAGAAGCCTATGCTTTTGAGTAAGTAACAAAATCCGTGATAAATGTCCTAATTCAACCTAATTGCTGCCGCGAGAGCGAGCCTGAAGCGAGCAAGCAAGGCAGCAGATCTAATCTGTACAGGGACAAAAATTTCCGATTCCTACACACGATGCATCTGGATTTTTAACCACAATGTACCGGATTTTTATCACAATTACTTGCACACGCATTGCTTTCATAAACCAACCTCTGCTGGCTTTTGTTGCATGTAGTTCGTTGAGGCTACTCGAAATCCTCTCTTGTAACGTGTCTGTGATGAGTTTCTCTTTCATGGCATATATTAGCCAAGATATCTTCACACCGCCGGTGATGTTACGTTATATGTCTGAAGCTTTCGTAGTCTCGAAAACTCTCTAAGAATGTAATGTGTGTTTGTTTCGAAATTCTTTTAAAAGCGTGGGGTTTTTTTGGTTTTGTTTCGTTTGATCTTCTACGCCTGTGGTTTTATTAAACTATCTTTCCATAATAATTCTGGAAGAAAGTGTTCGGATTAACCCTAGTAAACTTCCGATGACTTGGCGAACAAATTGCGTCACAAAAGCTACACATTAAGTATTTTAATTGCGCGCGCTAGATGAACGCGAGAAACACTACGGCAGCATTCTTTTACCTTTCAGGCCCCGGTTGTTCAAACGTTGGATAGCGCTATCCAGCGGATAACGCAATTGTTTCCCGTAATACGTATCCGCTGGATAGTGATTTAGCCGGTGGATAGCGCTATCCAGGTTTTGAACAACCTCGGCCAGGTACACAATTATTTGTATATTTGTACGTTAATTACCGTTTTCACTCGGTTAAACCCCGACATCAAATAGAAGCCTTCTCGAATAAACGCCGCACCCAATTAGCAGAATTATGCCGCGTTTATTCGAGGATAATTAGAAAAATGGTGCAGCTTTGTAGTGTACACCACTACTCAGATAATTATTACGATTCTCTCTCAGCAAAAAGTGAGACATAAGAACTGAAAACGTATTTCTGTTTTACATAATACAGTCAACTTCCTTTATAGCGGACACTGTGAGGAACTCGACTTTCTTTAGCGGCAGTCCGTAATAGGGGGAGTTTATTTCAGTCAAACGTCTCTAATTTGTTTTTGCCGGGGATTCAGCTACTATCCGTTTTTTCCGTTTTACAATTGAATTATCGTTTTTCGGTAATTGTTGTCAGTGATTCAAGAAATGTGATTTTGAAATTAACGGCGCCCTTGAATATTAATAAACGCTGCATCTGAAACAATAAGTATTCAACTAATACAACTAATAAACACGGTATTTACCTCTTATGGTAGTCCACTCTGAAAGCGTCATCCAACCTCTTTTCACCGGTTTTACTCGCTTCTGTAGGAGGTGAAACTCCATTCTCCGTTACGATAACGGTTGGGTCGTTGTAATTGTCTTTTATGTATTTCAACAGCTTACGAAATCCAAATGGAGCCACGTGACCGTTGACCCAATCTGGCCACGCAGGGTCACCACTCTTTATGAAAGCCTCGTCGGCATTAAACGATTGTTCGTCTCCTGAGGGTCTGTCAGCCACTTTGTCGGTGGAGTAATGATTCAGTCCAAACAAATCGTAACTTCCTTTGATCATAATTTTCTCTTCCTGAGTGAAGCTAGGCAGGCGGCTTGCAATCCCAGCAGCCTCACTACGGTTACCCACAATGCTTTTAACAACATCAGGGTAATCACCATTCACAAATATAGGATGCGCAAAGATGCCAAGATGAAACTGCATGTACCTGTCTGCAGCGGCCATGTCCCGGATCGAGTCAGTTTTTGGGACAGCCCACCCTGAGCTTAAAGCAAGCATTATATTCCCACCCTGCTTTGCATAGAAATTCTCCTTGTAGGTCTGATACGCTTTGGCATGGCCAAGTATTTGGTTGTAAGCCGTGCGATATCGTAGAGTCGATAGCTTGGTTTTATTCGATATGTATCCAAACATGTAAAAGGGATGACGTAACATAACGATCGCCGGCTCGTTCAGAGTGATCCAGTACTTCACTTTACTCCCGAATTTGTCGAAACAGAATCGAGCGTAGTTATCGAAGTAGTCGACCATACTTCGATTGGTCCAGCCACCAATCGATCGGAAAACGTCTGGTAGATCCCAATGATAAAGTGTGACGAGCGGTTCGATGTTATTCTTCTTGAGTTCGTCGATTAAATTGTTGTAGTAGTCGACGCCAAGCTGGTTCACGTGATCTGTTGTTCCGTGAGGGAGGACACGACTCCATGCGATAGAAAAACGATAAGCTTTAGCTCCGTAGTTCTTCAAAATGTTTACATCCTCTTTGTACTTGTGGTAACTATCGCACGCCACATCTCCCGTTTTGTTGCGGAATTGATTGGGTACGGTGTGGGTCAAAAAATCATAAATACTTGGTCCTTTTCCGTCTTCATTCCAAGCTCCCTCCACTTGATATGCCGATGTGGCAGCACCCCACAGGAAATCATTAGGAAATTTGCCGTATTTGAAGTCGTCGTATGTCGTCGCAAGAGACCCAGCAAAGGCGAAATACAGCAACAAAATAAAAGAGCAAATACACGCCATGATGCTGTATCGGATATGTAAGTGACTGATTGATTAAGTTTCCTGACCTTTTAAATGGCTTGATGCTGTACTGCTGGAGTGCAAAACGCGATAATGTCAAGTGTATTGTGTATTGTTGTGTCTGTTCGACTATTTCAGTAAAGTTTCTTTGATTTGATGAGTCCACCACTGTAAACAAAAGGAAAAGTGTAATGAATTTCACGCTTCGAAAGCATTTAAAAATAACTGCTGACAGGTCCTGTTTGTTTAATTGAGGGTCGGCTAAAGTCGGATTATATAACATGATATACAGGAACGGATTGATGCTCTCTTGTTTCAACTAATGCAGTTGTTGATTAAAAACGGAATTATGAAATCAATAGAATTAGAAGCGAATGGGGAAAGCACCTATTAAACTGTAGCAGAAGAGACGGCAACCTTTGCGAAAAAATCACGTCAACAGAAGTCTTCCAGACGTTTGTATGTTGGGGAGAGAAGATTTGTCCTCAAAGAACAAGCATCTGTTAAAATGTCTGCTTCTGCGAATCTAAAATTTATCTTAGTTTTTTAAAAAAATATAGTTACGTCATGCTATTCCTTTAAATTTTGTCCTGATCTGTTACAAATTAATTATCGACATTACTCTACTACACGGCACGTTTTAAACGTAGAAAGACAGCAAAAACAAGAAGGAAAGCAAAGATTGTCTGTTCATGGTGATGAATTATGTAGATCCATTGAGACAAAATAGATATGACGTATTTCACCGTGAAAACATGCCTAAATAACCGCGGATCCGTCTTGTGATTGAGGGTCATTAAAGGTCTATAAGAAAAATTGCAAGTATAAAAAACCCAAAGTGTGTGGTTTTGGTTTTTTTCTTGTTGTTTCTTTTCATCTAGAAGCAATATAGCACCTATTGTGTACTGCGCTTTATATTTTCGTAGATTATAGAAGGTATTGGAGAAGCATTTTTGTAAGTTTGCGTAAGCTTTTTGTTTTACTTGTCATGGGGGAGCATTGGGGTTGTCGGTTCGATTTCTCTTTTATTTTGGCACGCAAGTCGGTTTCGGTTTCCATCACGAATGTGATTATTCCCATTTGGTATTGATTGCGGTTTTTTGTTTTTAAGCAAATTTGTGGCGAGCTTTAATTTAATAATTTGTTCTATCTATAGTCATTATTATAAACTGTTGGTAGGTGGTTAAAATTGGGAAGAGATGGAAAAAAAGATGGGAATCTTTTTCATCTGATCAAGCAGCAATACCTCGGTAAAACTCGATTTTACATGACCACGGTTATCAGTAACCCAAACTTGATTAGCTTGACTGTGGTGTTTTTGTATCTCAAATTATTTTATCTTTAGTTTTTGTAGTTTTTTTTTTATTGTGGTTTTTCAATTTTAACTTTTACCGTTAGCAGTTTTAAATTAACTTGTAAATAGCGCCTTTGGACCCCGGGAAAGCGCTCCTTATAAATGTCTGATTATTATTATTTTAATTATCATTATTAGATAAGCTGTATAGTATCATTACCTGGTATAACCCAAGTCCAACGGATTACCAGCAGCTTAACTTCACGCCTAACAAGACATAGCAAAAAAAGCAAGGCAAAGCCAAAGCAGCACTTTTGTAGAGTTGAATTATACATAAATGCTTAAAATAACTGTTATTTGGCTAGTAGCAGTTACCATGGCAAAGTATCTTAGGGATTATTTGGACCTCCTTTTTAGCTTGCAGCACAGATAACTACAAATCTAAGCCAGTGGGCCCAATTTTTTTTTTTTTGGACGACAACTTTTGCTATTACTTAAAATTCAACAGAGAGGACTTTTATCCAAAAGTGGAAAATAGGACATTTTCGTGCAGTGGAAATTTAATTCCGTAGAATTTTTTTTTTAATTTTTCTTTGACGTTTCCTTTTAACTCTAGTAAAATGTTAAAGCAATAAAAATAGGGGATGACCGGACTTGTACCTTGTAAGATGCTTCGAGATTTCACAAGTTCCCAGGAGCGCATTTTTTCTTGTAAAATCAGAATTCTATAAGAGCGAGGAGTTACTCATGCACTGTATTGACTACCGCTGACTGTTGCATGCACACTTGCGGGCAATTATCGAGTTTGCCTACAGTCTTTGCAGGGAGAAAAAATTACACGCGTCCAATTACGCGTTATTATAATTTATTAGGTTTTGCCATTCAGAATAACGTTTGGTAACTTGAAACATTGCCTTTCTGGGCTCACTTTACAACATCACGAGAGAAAGCGAAGTGGCAAAGGCAAAATTGCTTTCAGGAGACTGTCAGGCGAATCGACTTTAAGTTTTCGACAGTTTTTTTCGTCGCTCTTGTAAGGACAAAACACAGTAGCTTTGAAGTAATCATGGTCTAAACGACGAAATGTAGCCAAGAGGAAAAAGCGTGGTTAAAAGCGGTAGTGTTCTAGTTTGTTTGTTTGTTTTTAGTTGTGCTAGTACTTAAAGAGTCGCTGTCACGATCGCAGTGCATATGCAAGTATTTCTTTTGAAGTTTACGCATTAAGCGTAGAAATAATTGTCTTTTTGAAAACATATCCGTAAAAAAGGATTTTACAATGTTTATAAAGTCAGATAAACACGAGTTTTATTTTAAACTAATATAATGTGTTAGATATACTGTATATACTTTATTAAGACTTTTTTAATTAATTTATTTATATATACTCAATGTGCCTTTTGATTTTCCTCTTTCTTTTTGTTTTGTTTCGTTTTTGATTATTTTTTCTTATAGCATTAATATTTCCTCCTTTTTTCTTGCCTTCCCCCGCCTCGATTAGATTTTAGTTTTGCGGGAGAACATTAAACATTAAACTCTATTGTATTGTTGATGTGTTCCTAATAAAGCTAGTACACGGCCACGCTACTTGCCGCCATTTATTCCCCCCTTTTTTTATGTCAACATGCCTATATTATCAAGCTTTTATTATTTCATTCTTCATTCTGTTGGGTCGTTTACAACCTTAGCATAAAACATGATCATGAACGTAGAGTTTTTGACGCTTGTACACTGTTGTCGTTATGTTTTTATCGTTCAGTGACTGAGAGGCAGGTGGCCTGGGTTGGGGAAAATGTCATTTCACACCTTTTTTTTCTAATTGTAGCGCAGCGACACTTCCAACGACAAATCGATGTGTAGAAGAAAATAACAATGTCGGCCCACTCATCTGTCGCTTTATGCTACCCCTTGGCGCCACGGTAAACATGGACGATTCAGCCCTGTATCGAGACGTTACTACTATCTTCGCGGCTTAGTTTAAAGACATCACCCTCAGCCCTGGAACTCGTAAATTCCAGTTAAGTCCACACCACACCAGATTTCTTTGGCGCCCGGACACGAAAAACCATACCGTATAGGGCTTCTGTTCACACATAAGAACGGTGATTGCGGCGCTCTTTCTGTAAGGGAGCAAAGCCGCGCCGCGTCGATCTCATAAGAGCAGAGTCACAAATCGGAAGTGTTCACTCTAACCTGGATAGCTTTTCTTGTCGGCGCGAAAAGTTATCCGGTACAGACCTTTGCACTTATACGGCGGCCATAGTGAATTAATTAGACTTAAGGAGTATTATGAGATGCCCAAGAGGCATATACTCGCTTTTCCCATAAAAAGACTTTAATGGAAAAAAAAGATCACTGTGCCGTGTTTGGATGTAATAATGATTGCCTTTTTACCCGAGAAATACACAGTGAAGTTCTCTTCTTGCCCGAAAAGCGCGCGTAAATACAGAGCGAGTGCCCTCTGGGCATCCCATAATACTCCTTAAATCTAATAAATTCAACATGGCCGCCGTATCATTAAAAAGGTCTATTGTGTGAACACAGTCGAAGTCTGTCTGCACCTGTTTAAGTATGTGTATATCTCATTCGTCTACATAATTAACAATTCTCACTCGTCTTTAACACCTCAGCTTTATAGCTGTTGCTCTCGAAATTGGCGCAGCTGGGATACCAGGCTCTGATGTCATGACAATCAATTCTAGCTGTCAATCTACCATTGCATGACGTGGGACTTATTTTCGCTGTTGATTGGTTCCTGTAAGTAGACACGCGTTGTGCTGAATTGAAAATTCGTGGATTTGTTGTTGGTTGGTAAAAAAGGGTCCGAGGTATCTTGACAAGAACAAATGAAATAATTTAAATAGCTAGCTAGGGAGCGTATGTTTGAAACTTCCATCCTTGATAGTGTCTTTTAAAGGCAACTCCAAGATTGTTAGCGTAAGACAAGTCGATGACACTTGTTGACCGATTAGCTCAACTGTTATTTGGTACACAGAGATCAGAATTGAGGCACTAAAACAAACATATTTAGCTTAGTTTTAGACTAATCCGATTATTTATCTGTTATTATTTTTTTAATGAAAGGTTGAAGAGAAACGTAAATTACACAACTAAAATAATTGGTTAATTTCCTCTGGCTGAATTGAAAACGTGGGGCTTATTACTAAAAGCTTAATCTCTGACTGAAAACGACTTCATGTAATAAATTAGCAACGAAATCAGATTCAGAAATGTAAGTTACACGTAAGATTAATAGCAAACAAAACAAAGCACACCAAACGGGTGAAAAGCGGCAAAAGCAAATAATTCATAGAGATAAGTTACTCCGTCACATTTCCGGGGCACAAATTCATGACGAATTACAAGGAAAGAGAGTATTTTTACAGACCTTACTGAGCCTAGTCCGGTTGAATTGACTATACTAAACGGCAAAATGCACGTGTTTACTCAAGATTCATGTGACAGCGGCAGAACTTGAGACTGTGGGTACTTTGGCAAAGAGCATATAACCCGGGAGATACAAGCAATGACTGAGGGAAACAAGAAATTAAAGAACACGTTTATTAAAGTTAACGTAAGACTTATGAATAAAATAGGACATGCAATGGGGACCGGAAAAGTGGAACACATGTCACGTGATGACCTAAATATTACATTGCAGACCGTGAGGAAATATCCTTGGACGATTATCGAAAGATGGAAAAGGCGG